TTCAGGACACGGTACCTACCAAGTTGTCTCTGCCATGACTGAGCTGAGAATGCAAGTCTTTGTGGTCATCTTTATCTTTCCCAAATTTTTTCAACACTTTTAAGAAGAATCAGTCAATTTCATTATACTGGTTAGTTTAACAAATACATTCTAAGATATTAAATACATGGTCATTTCAAAACTTTATTCTTATACCCATTTGTTTAGGAATACTTAAAGGTGATATATCACATACCACTATTGCCATATTATTCCACTGATTATCAGCACTTTTCTACTGTAAATTATGTCTTTAAATATAGTCATATTAGAAAATGATTCCAGAAATGCCAGAACCAATTCAGAAAATTCTTTCTTTCTTTTTTTTTTTTTTTTTTTTTTTTTGTTACTGGGTATTGAACTCACCACCTCACACTTGTCAGGCAGGCGCTTATGCTGCTGAGCTAAATCCCCAGCCCAGAAAACTCATTCTTAAGATGAAATTCTTCTAAAGTCAATCTCATTACCAAAAATCTATATTAGACAAGGTTCTCCAGAGAGAACCAATGAAATTATCAACTAGATATATAAAAAGATTTAAGAAATTGGCATGCTATTTAAGGATGACATATCTAAAATGTGATGGGCAAACTGGCTGGAGGCATACCCAATGATGAGATACTACTGTTGTCTTGAATGGTAGTCCAGAGACAGAATTCCTTCCTCTTCAATATACTCAGTATTTCCTTCAAAGACCTTCAGCTGATGAAGTTCACACTTATCCTCGTATTATGGAAGTTGATATACTTTATTTAAAGTCTACTTACACAACTATTAATCACATCTTAAAAACACCTGCAATGTTGTTTGACCAAATCACTGGGCACTATAATGTAACCAAGTTGATACATAAAGTTAAATATCATACTAATCAGTGTTTTTCTTTTCTCTTCTTTTTTTTTCTAGTAGGGGGACTATGCAAAATAACCTACACTTTCTTAAGAACTGGCAAAAACCCACAAAAAACAATTGTGTCTCCCAGCCTCTCTTCTATTTGTTGTCAATGAGATCACAGGAGAAATCTCTGACTACAAATTCCAAGCAAGATCTGCAAGCATATATTATTAATTAACACAGCATTCTGTGATCTTTCCTTTCACTTTACTCATGTCATGAAGGCAGAAACTATGAGCATGGGAGGTGAAAGAGAAGAGAGGGAACTATCTTCTGAAATGCACAATGACAACATTGAGAATGAATGCCTCTCACAAAAGACAGCAAAGTAGAAAAATAAAAGGTGTATGGATCCCGGAAATTAAAGTGGGCCATCCATAGACTGTAATTTTATAACATTCTCCAATGTGAAAAAATCAAATTATTTGATTAGCATCTATAGTAAGGTCTCCTAATAAACACCCAACTTATACTAGAAACTTCACAGTTTCTTTTATACATAATAGTTTATAATTCATTACTAGTCAAATAAATTTTTTATTAATTTTAATTTTTAATTAGGGCTTACTATAGATGTAGATAATTGGAAATTTTTCTTCAAGTGATTGTTGTGAAGATCAGTTGTAAAAATGAAAATTTTCCATTTTAAAAGAAATATTTTATGTAAAGTTATTAGCAATTTGAACATCTATAAAGAACAGAAATTGATGTTTGTTCAGTGTCACTACTATACGATTAAAGCAGGTCTAAGATTCAGATACTCTGATACTGAAATCAGTAATATGGTTATTATATTAATTTTGTAAGATTTAAAGTTATATAGGACCTTGAATGTGTTAGTAACTAGACTACTAAATCACAACAATAAAATAGCAAAAAGTGGAGACAAATGGAAAGAAAAAACAATTGAAAAATTAAAAATACAAAATTTAATTTGATTAATGCAGTTTAACCTAAGATGGAAAAGACCATTTCACTATTATAAATATTCTCCTTAAAAACTCTTTCATATATGGCTCAAAATAAATCACATTGTATTACTTTAAAGAAAAAGTGTTATTTTATTTCACACTTAGAACACAGATCTGGAGCTACAAAAAATGTGGTGGATATTTGTCCCCAGATATTTAATAACTGTGTGAGGTATTAAACTACATTCCATGGACTTATGATTTTTTTATAATAGAAGTTTCATTGATCAGCTTTGCAATGCTGAAAAAATATATGACACCCACAAATGAAAACAGGAAAGGTCCATGTTGGACCTTTGTGGTCCATGATTTGAAATGTTTCCATCCATGGTCAATTAGCTCCAAGACAGAACTACCATGGCAGAAGGTCATGGTAGAAAACTGTTCAACTCATGGCATCTGGAAAGCAGATAACAGGAAAGAGGCACAGAAGAAGGTGCCGAGGACCACATATAGTCACCAAGGTTACACTGCCACCTACAGAGTCATGCCCACAAGAATGTTTTACAATCTCCAAGGCATTACACAAACAAAGCAGGCTGACAAAATTAACCATGACAAGTCCATCTTTTGTCAACTTGACATTCAACCACATCTCCCTTTACCATATTTCATCTCCAAATAGAGCCAATAGTATCATATTTCCATCTGACATGATGTAACCCTTCTTTATGCAACAAAAACTGTATTAATTCCTTACCCAAAGTATAAACACTTTTAACACTGCTCAAAATTTCCTTTCAGACTAAAAATAACTTAGTTGGGAGCACCTATTAAGAAAAAAAACTTTTCAAAACTTTACATAATCTCAAGAGAAATGTCAGTACCTCCTGAGAATCAGCCATGCTAGGACTGGGAGGAGCATACTAAGAAGCAATGGGCCCGGGGCTGGGGATTTAGCTCAGCAGCATAAGCGTCTGCCTTGCAAGCAGGCAGTCGTGAGTTCGATCCCCGGTACCGATAAAAAGGAAAAAGACAAAAAAAAAAAAAAAAAAAAAAAAAAAGAAGCAATGGGCCCGCCTTTCCAGTAAGCTGCATAAGCCCTGCAGGACCCAGGAAGACAAAAGTCAGGGCCTCCCAAGAATTGGCCATGCTGGACTGGCAAAGCCAACCCAAGTAGCCAATTAGCCAAACTTTCTGGTACGCAGCAAAAGCCATTCAGGGCCCAGGAAGAGAAAAGTCAGCACTTCCCATTTTCCTATCAGAGCTCAGGCTGAAAATCACCAACTGGCTCATCTCCCTACCCCTATAAGCAATCTGCTGGTTTGAAGGTTAGCCTGAGTTGACAGAACTAAGGTACAAAAAGCAACTGAATGCTTGTATTGTTTGGTTGACTTTGCAGGCCTGGGGCCAGCTGTCTGAGCATCTGTTGGGAGGATAACAGTATGCAATATAGCAAATACGGAGGATTTCCTTCTATCTTATTTTTGAAATGCAATATTGTTCTTATTTTTTGTTCTGATTTATCGTTTTATTTAATGTTCTGTTTTCATTGGTATAGAGACAGAAAAACTGAAATTAGGTTTTTCAATAATATTAATCAAAGAAATCAAAAGAGTGAAAAGACAAACCACAGAATAAGAAAATTTCAGCCAATGATCCCTCAAACAAAAGACTTCTATCTAAACATATAAAGAACTGAAAAAGCCAGACCCACCCCCAATTCAAAGACCTAGTCCAAAAATGGGCCTTTGAAAGGAATACCCCCTTCTCAGATGAAGAAATACAAATGGCAAATAAATATATGAAAAAATATTCAACATTACTGGTCATCCTAGATATAAAAATTAAAACAACATTGAGATACCACCTCACTCCAGAAAGAATGGCTATTATCAAGAAATTAACCAATAACTAATGCTGGTGGAGCTGTTAGAGAAAAGGAACCATTCTGCACTGTTGTTGGGAGTGTAGACTGGTGTACTCACTATGGAAATCTGTATGGAGATTCCTAAAAAAACTATGTTTGAAAGTCCCATTTTAGGGGCTGGAGATTTAGCTCAGTGGCATAAGTGCCTGCCTTGCAAGCAGGCAGTCGTGAGTTCGATCCCTGGTACCGATAAAAACGAAAAAGACAAAAAAAAAAAAAAAAAAAAAAAAGAAAGTCCCATTTTACCCAGCTATTCTCCTTCTGAGGATTTTCCTAGGAGAATTGAAAACGCCGTACAACAGGAATATATGTGCACCATGTTTATAGCAGAAGAATTTGTAAAAATTAAACCTTGAAAACAACTTAAATACCCATAAACCACTAAATGAATAAAAAAGATGTGGTATTTTTATACAATGGCATGTCACTCAACTGCAAAGAAGGGCAAACATGAGACTTTTACAGGTAAATGGATACAACTTGAGGCCATAATAGTAAGTGAAATAAATCAGACTCGTGTAAACATCATATTGTCTCCTTAGTATAAAAAACTGAAAGATAAATAAAATCCAAAATATAAAACAGATTTTGTGAAAGTGAAAGGGGAAAAAAAACTGCTCAAAAGGAAAGAACTGGAAAACGAAAGAAGGGAAAAGATTAATATATATATATATATATATATATATATATATATATATTAGATAATCATACTACTAATTGGTTAGTTCACCAAAAGAACCATTTGTGCTTTCATTCATCAATCATTTTCTCATGCATGTATCTTGTAATCTGAGCAACTACTATGAAGATTAACAATATAGTAACTATTGTTAATCTCCTATTGTCAGGGGTTGTGAGGAGAACAATTAGAATCAGGACACAGAATTTATAAAATTATTTTAGGATGATCACCCAGAGTTAAAACACAAGTGCAGGAAACCTATCAACACCAAAAACATAGAATATTCAGCCAAGGCCCTGGATTCCACAGCAATGTCTTACATGAATATCTAGAGATGAGTATCTAGAGCCCATGATAATGCCGCCCATGAGTCCAACTGGAGGCCTAGAGCCCACTAGAAGGACTCACACCAGTCTGTTTTACATATCAGCTCTCGGAAGGCCCAAAGGTCAGAGGTGGAAGCTAGAAAGTCCATGCCAGCAGGGTGAAGGAGCTGTGCTGGTAGGTTGAGGGTTCTACACTGGAGCTGAGAAATCACACTCACAACAAAGACCAGGGCTGTCCTGAAAAGCCACCACAGCCGTCCTCCGCAACATGGAAGTCCTGAGCTCCTTCAAAGATAAGAACAGAAACCCAGCATGATGAGTTTGCCCTGAAGATTAAGTGGCACATATCTTCCCCTCTATAGTCAGAAGCGGTGCTCAATGTAAGAACCAGAGCTCCCCAAATCGAACCACCAGCCACTCTCACCAACAAGGTTCCAAGCTCCTCTGAGGATAATGGTCGAACTAACACCCGGGAAGCTAGCTGTTATAAGCTCCTCCAGGAAAACCAATGACTCAACACAGCAACACAGAGAAATCCACAACACCTCCCTCTTTTTCTCCACATCTCTATTTATGGCGGCAACTTTCCTCAGGTGGGCCATCTATGCTCAGCACCATGATGATTTAATTCAGCTGGTGTTAAGTTGACCACCAATTTTTAATTCATAACACTTATTAAGTTGATTTGAAATTCTGTACCATTGCTTTTAGGATTTTTTGTTTTGTTTTCAAATAAATTTTAAAAATCAGTAAAATAAAAATGTATAAAATAAATTGATTTTTTACTACTTGTGCATCTACAGCACGAGCTACAATGTCTTTCTCGATGTTCTTTGAACCAAAAAGAGTCATTCATACTTTAGATCTTAGCTTTTTTTTCTGCTGGAAATGTCTTCCTAAGACTACTGATTTAGTCAACTGGATAACTTATTCAAGTTTTCGCTCCATCTGCTCCTTTCTGCAGAATGTTTGCTGCCTAACCCATTTAATAAAGTACTTTGCTATTATTTTTACCATAGTACATGTGAATAGTTAAAATATTGCTATACATGATTATTTGTTTGTTCCCTATGAATCTTCTGCTCATTTCTTAGATATTTTGATTTTCTTTCTTTCTTGTCTATATCTGTCCTCAGGAAAAGATAACTGTGAATTCTGCTTATTTTAATAATGCCCAAGTCATTAATAGAATGTTTGAAGCGTGAGAGATGTAAGAAAATATTTGTTAAATATATTATCATAATTAGATCTGTATTTACAATTTAAATATAAGAAATATGAAGTCTATGTCATTTTGTTACATCACAAAGTGCACAGCAATCAGAAAGTGAGTACAAAATAGACCATTGTCAGTATAAGAGCTGTGCTTATAAACCTCACTATCTCTCAAGTGTATAACCTAAATATTGGAAAGAATCACAGAATGTGTAAATTCGAGAAGTAGAAGCCAAGAAAGATCATTTTATCAACCCTCCTTCCTCTACTAATGAAGACAATTTAGCTCAAAAAAGATAAGTGGTTTAAAGACTGTTTAAAAGTCAGCTAGTAGCAAAAAATAGGATTAGAAACAAATTTTCTAATTACTAAAGCCATATTCTTTTCACTTTCTCAAGTTAGAAAAAAATCACTGTTCAGAATGTATAACAATGAAATATAGTGTGAAGAAGAAATTTCTAAAGTTACTGAGTAAATAAATAAAAAGAGACTAAAAAATTAAGCTTGGAGTTTTTATTTGAAATTCAATAAGCTGGTATAGTTATTTTTCAAAAAAGGCAGAAATTATTAGGGTTTAATTTTCAGAACATAAAACTTTACTAAATGAAAAAGATGCCTTACTGCATCTAACTTATATTTTATTGGCTTTAACAGTCCTTGGGAAATTAATTTTCACAATTGAAATGGCCATAGTAAAAACTACACTAAGAAAGGGAAGGACTGTATCAACTAATGATATGAAGAAAGTAGGAGTTGTCATTATAAGGGACTTCTTTTCAGACTATTGTGCTGTTTAATAGTTTCAGATAACTCTTTTTCCTGTTTAAGCAACCAGAGAATAAATCTGCTGCAGAGAAAAGCATCTAATAATTGTGGTTATGCTTCTACAGACTGAGTTTTACCAGTGGAGTGTAATTCTCCCACAGAGTTTTATAGAATGAGAATCTGGGTCAGTGTTTTATACTACTACCCTCTTTAAAAACAAAGTAATGTGATACTCCCTTACTGCTGAAACCAAAGACCAGGAAGTTCATAATTTTGTGGCAAAGTTTATAATTTTTGTTCCCAGGCATTTTTTATTCATTTTGTCTTGTAACTTGTCTCCCGGCTTCAATGTTATGGGTACTTGAAATATATTTCTCATTGAGATAGAATGAAGCTTCCTTGGTGAACATTTTCTACAATTATAGTCCTTGTCTCATATATTCAATTCCTATTTCACAGTAATGAATTAGATATTAGGTTTTCTGTATGAATTTGTGATAAAATGTTCATAACATGAAAAAGTAATGGCCAAAGTTTATATAGTTTTTAAAAATAGGGGCTGGGGATTTAGCTCAGTGGCATAAGCACCTGCCTTGCAAGCAGGCAGTCGTGAGTTTGATCGCCGGTACTGATTTAAAAAAAAAAGTTTAAAATAGAATTTAGACAATGAGTAAGTTTAATTCTCTACTTTTCATAAATTAAAGTAAATTCTTATTATTTACAAACACTATAACTCTATTTTTTAAGTTACAATTACAATTTCAGTGCTATCTACTGAAAGTTAATCACATTATCATTAATCCTATTTGTTGAAGATTGAATTAATGTTTATAGTAAAAGGCATAATAAATTCTTCAAAATCTATAGTCAGACCTTTTCTATTTTCAAACAAAACACTGCCTCATTTATTCAATGTAATTTGTTAAGTGACTAAAATGATAGAACTATTTGTTCTCATTACTATGTGGCCATATTAAATTGTCTTTTGGGGAGTAAGGAAATAGTTCATGGCAATTCTTTTTTCAAAAGTAAGATTCTCCTTTTCTCGGTAGCATGTGTTTTTATTTGAAGATCTCTATCTCCACTCCAGGTAATTCAAAGCTTAATAAAATGCAAAGAGTATCCTGAAATATGTACCTTCAACAAACAATTCTCAATTGGCGACATAACAGATGAATAGAAAAAAGAATGATTCCTATATTCAGTTTATTCATTGGAGATTTTACTAAGTTCATGGCCTTTTTTGGACTACATTAATTCAAATATATTTCAGATAATATAAGTAAAATAACATATTATACAAAGAGAAAAGCAAGTACTATACCTTACCAAGTCACAAAAAAATCTGAACATAGTTTTATTCTTGGCCTGTTTGCAGGTTTTCACTTTACTCTGAATCTCCATGAGGTTTCATCAACATTCCAATAAAGGAATGCGAAAAAAAAATGCAGAAGACTGAAACTACTTCTCAAGAAGAAAACTCTCTCTTGTACATTTGAACTGTGAATCATGCACACAAAAATTCTTGAATTTTGTTCAAATTTGAAAAGATGGACTGTTCCACTCTCTGCACTATATTTTTTTCTGGGTCAGACAATGAAAAAAATCACTCTCCTAAATTATCTTCCTTTCTTCCCTTTAGTAAATTCTTGTAAAAAATAAGTATAATAACAATTATTAAAAATCAATGAATTAACAGAATCAACTTTTACCTCTAAATTAAAAGAAAAAAAAGGCCTTAGTAAAATGAGAGAGCACTAGAAGTTCTCCATATTTCTCTGGTCTGGACCTCAAATGCTGAGAGAAATCTTTGCAGATCAGAACCATGGAGCATATATTTTGGCAATAACCAAAAATAAAAAATAAAATTACAAATCTGAGTCACCTGATCAACCTTGCCTTGAGGAACTTCACACAGAGTGCAATTTATTTTTTAAATTAAATAATAGCCGCAAGAGGGAATAACACTATAAAAATAGACAATAATCTGCTCTACAAGGCTTCAGTATATATTTTTTTTTTTTTGCTGCCAAATAAGGAAATGTAGTCAAAGGGAACAAAACCTCCTAAAGTATTTACTTTGTACAAAGAGGAACAAAATCAAATCAGCAAACTTTTCATGAGGAACATAGAAATAAAAAGCAGCAATAAAATCTTCAGGAAAATCAGACCACTGACTTCATGAGGACTTAGCACGAAGAATCTTTAAGACAGCATAGATATAAAGAAATATATGAGGACTGCCGCAGGATTTTTGTTGTTTTGTTTTGTTTTTTGTTTCTTATTTATTTATTTTGGTCTTTTTTGAGACAGGATCTCACTATGCAGTTCAGGATACACTTGAGCTCATTTTGTAGCTCAGGCTAGTCTCGAACTTGCAACTATCCTCCTGCCTCAGGCTTTTGAGTGCTGGGATTGTAAATTATAAATTTACAATGTGCCAACAAACCCAGAACTTTCACACTTTTAAAGAGTATTTTAAATCTTTTAATGTTTAACTCATAACACTGTAACAGTCATCAAGTTATAGAGTATTTTTTTTCCCTTGATCTACCTTAGGCTGCAGGTAAAGAATTAAGAACTATAAAAGATCATTTGGGGCTAGGGATTTAGTTCAGTGGCATAAGGGCCTGCCTGGCAAGCACAAGGTCATGAGTTTGATCCTTGGTACCAAAAATAAAAAAAAGATCATCTTTATAGTGGCACTGTTGACTAAATAATAACAAAAGTTACCACTTATTGAAGTGTACTGTGAGTTGAGAGCATGCTACTCTAAATACATTAATAGTTTTAGCTCAGGCATATCCTTATAAAATAAGTTATTATAATTACCTGTTTCATAGATGAAATAATAAAGATTCAGAAAACTTAAAGTCACTTACTGAAATCACACATTTGATATATTACAGCCAATATACTTATGCCTACCAAATCCAACTCACAGTTTTGTTTACACCACTTTGTTTATATATCATGGGAGGTTTGAAATCAGAGGAGGGTTAAATAACAGCAACAGAAGTTTAAATAAATTTTAACTTCCTATAGTAAATTCCACTTACTTCTTTTTATGATCTTCTTTTATGATCTCTTTGTATTTTAAACTCAGAAAACAGTTCCACTCTGCAAAGACTGAATAACTATTCAACTTAATTGAGGGCATAAATGACACTACCAAAAATTTAATATCTTTGTTCTGATCACTTTCTTGCCCAAATTTCAGGTAGTCAGTTGTGATTATTTGGCTATAATTCTAGGACCCTGATTTATTTTTGCCAAGCTGGATCGGCTCCCACTCCCATATCATTTTTCTTTTTGTAAGTGTAAACCTCTTAGAAATATAAGAGGTACTTGGATGACTAGTTTGTGCATGATCCCCATAAAAACCTTATTCTGTAACCTCTTAACATTAAGGTAGAACAAGAAAATTTTACCTTATAAAACACTGTATCTTGTCTTATTGAGTTATGTGTATATGCCTACAGTTAAAAGACAAGTGGATATTAAAGTTCAGCATGTTTCTCATTCCCAAACATGCATTGCTGAAAAACCACAGGGTCTACATAATTATAA